GGGGAGAGAGGGTAATCTGGCCCTGCGCGCTGCAAATTGTACATTTAAACAATGACAGAGTTTTTCCACTCCGTTTGGCAAACCCCGCCATCAGCCCCTCGTTGTTGTCGGGGGTCCTCACCCCTCACGGCAGCAACAGCCACGGCCGAAGGGTTAAACATAAACTTTAAACATTCCCTGTCCCGCAGGAGCTCCTTTTCCATGAGCTGAGGTGGGCTTTTCCCCCCTCTCCTTAAATAACAAGGGTGGTCCCAGCATACTCTATATCGAGACAGCTTTTCATCAGTTGCTCATCAGCATGCTAATTGCTGTATGACTAATTATGCCCTGAATTCCAGTTGATTTTCTTAATGAGACAGCTGGGTTAATTATGTAATCGTATGATTACATTAGCCCAGAGTGCCCTGGCGAAAAGGAAGGCGGGCGGGAGTGGGATGTCAGCGGGCGAGGGGCACGGGGGCAGCCGCGGTCATTTTGGCCGTAATGATCGGGGAGGGCAACCCTGCGAGAGCACCCGCGGTGTAAACAGGGGCTGGGATTGCTGGCACTGAGAGCCGTGCCTTCTCCCAGCCCCCCCTGGACGAGGGAGGAATGGGGGTTCTTCAACAAAATTCACTTGGGAAGTTCAGGCAGTCAGCGATGGCCCTGTTGTAACTCGGGGATTGAGGCTGGCTTTGGGCTGAGCGATGTGGGGTGGAGGTTGGATTGTGGAGGCATAGAATATCCTGGGCTGGAAGCGACCCACGAGGATCATCAGTCCAGGTGGCCCCAATTATCCCACCCTGGGCATCCCTGGAGCATTGTCCAAACTCTCTGGAGCTCTGGCAGCCTCGGGCCATGCCCATTCCCTGCAGAGCCTGGGCAGTGCCCAGCACCCTCGGGGGCAGAACCTTCCCTTGATATCCAACCTGAACCTCCCCATACACAGCTCCAGCCGTTCCCTCCTGCTCTCCCTGGTCACAGAGAGCCGAGATCAGAGCTGCAGACCCCAGTGAGTCTCCTCTCAGTCTCCTCCAGCTGATCAAACCAAGCGCCCTCAGCCGCTCCTTGTGCGGCCCCTCCTGACCCTTCCTGACCGTCTGCTGTCCCTCCTTTGGACGCTCTAACAGCTTTAAATCTTTCTTACATTGTGACACTCAAAGCTGCACCCAGGGTGCTGAGGGGCTGCCTCGTGTAATGAGTAGCTCGGTCAAAAGCAATCTTAGTGTTTCTGTTAAATTTTTTTGTGAAATCAGTACTTTACATACCTAAAGAGCAGCAAAAAAAAAAAAAAAAAATATTCCCTTGCCCTGCTGTTGAAAAAAGATTCATTATCAGGGCAGGTGCGTGGTGTGAGAACAGCCTGAGAGGTGTTGCTGTGTCTGTGTCGCACCAGCTCGTTTGATGTGAAGTATTAACTGCTATAAAAATCACTTCGCATTTGTAACGTTAATTGTTTTCGTGTCTGTGTCCACTGAGACGTGTCCATCCTCCTCCTTCGTGGGGACAGAAGCTCCTCTGTGCGGGGACAGTGAGATGTGTCCCAGCAGCGAGCAGGGATGTGCCCAGAGCTCTGCAGTCCTGGGGAAGGAGAGGCAGGAACGGGCTCTGCAGGGTTGGAAATGCGGCGCTTTCTGTTTCTGCTGTGGTGGCGTGGAGGAAACCTCGTCAGGGATCGGATCCAGATGTGCTGGGCTGCCTGCAAGCTCAGGATGCAGGGGGCTTCTCTGTGGGTATGGCGTGCAACAAGTGGATTAGGAAAAATGAGCAGAATAGGAAGCAGGAGGAAAAAATGCACTGAATTTAGTGTAAAAATAGACGTCTCAATCTACTCTTGGGCAGTAATGAACTTGCAAAACGCTTCTTCAAGTTCTAGATGATCAGATCCCTTTTATTAATTTTCTGTTTTTTTAAATTTATCCCGTGCCCAGCAGGGATTCTGGAATTTCACAAGAGACAATTCAAAGCAAGGCAATAATGTATGATGAGGTTTCCATATTTCAGTGTTCAGCGAGGTGATTTTTCTCTCTTACAGACCACAGAAAGGGCATTTCCTTTGCTGCCTCTCTCCGTAAGCCAGGTCCAGTTGATTTTTTTTGAGCCGTGCATGCCTGTTGTTTGTGTAATGAATCGAAAGTTTTGGTCCATTGCTTGTTTAAAAATTCAGTGACCTCCTGTTAAATGACATGAAACATACTTTGCAAACCTGGTTAATATAAAAAGGTATGCTTTTCCATGCATGCATGTGTTGGGAAAAGGAGAGTATTTTTATTTATTTTTAATCTGCTCCACTCAGGTAGGAAAAAAGCCATTGTGACTCTAAGGTTTATACTTGTTTCAGGTTAATTGGTGTTTATAAATACTCCAGAAATAACAGGTTTTTAGGCTTTTCAAGCTAAAAGAGCATGTTGGAGCTTGCCATGAGAAACTATTTTTCTCTCTGCCCGAAATGTCTTGGTTGGTCATTTTATTGTCGTACAACGATTAGTTTTCTTTAATGCAGTTTATAAAAATTAAGTCTAAGAGGTGCTTCACCCATGGGTTTTTTTTACATGTCCTCCAGCAGTATTTGGTGGCTGCAGGCCATTAGTCCTTCAAATAGGCTCTAGTGAAGTTTGAAGTTTAATGCACAGAGACTTTTTTTTACATTTTGTTTGTTCTGCCGCTGTTTTGCTACTTGAACATTAACCTTTAATAGAGCTAAATTAAATATACATGTCCTGATGAATAATTATGAGATTGCAAGCATTTTCATTTTGTACACAAAGCTTCTCAGGGATTGCAAATTTGACTAAAGATTTAGTCATTATTCACTTTATAATGCCCATGTTATTTTTGTCTTTTAATTCTTTGCTGATTTCAATATAAAAAGCCCTGTGTATTAGGAGCAAAATACTTCTTGTGCATGTCCTGGCTTTTTACAGTGTTAAAATGAGGGTGGGGGAAAGTGCACTCACAGTTTTGTCAAGTTCAGTCTCTTTCATCGTGGCACTATTTCATAGAAATACCCACAGCTGAAGCTTAAGATCCCGGGCCCGATAGGATTCGTGGTTTCTGTAACAATTTCAGACGTGGCCAGAGCGAGACAATCCGGCCTTTCTTTGTGCTCAGCAGATGAATGTCCCGGGCTGGCTCTTTGGGGGATGCTGAGCTGCAGGAGTGTGACAAAACGCTCCTTGCAGAGGAAGGTCAGGGACCTCCATGGGAGCAGGGGGATGTTGTGACAGCCCACACCGTAATAGGACCATCCATAAATACTGCAGAGCCTTCAGCTCGTGCTACTGCTGCCACTTCAGCACTCTATTTAATTCCTTACCTGTACCCCCCTGTCTCTGCCACAATAACATTTTAAGTTTGATTTATTATAAATATTTTAATACAGATAATAATAACGAAAAGTATTTGGCCTAAAAAGCATAAATGAAAAAGCTATGTAGTCATAAACTATGTATGTACAGAGAACAGATGACAAGCAACCTAGATTTTGTATTATGAACAGGGTAATGCCATAAGCTGTTGAAGAACCCAAGTAACAAAATGCAGCAGGCTGCTACTTAGAATGTCTCTGAGTTCAACATAACCCAGTGCTATTCTTTTATAAACTATGCAACAACGCTGGCATATTGAAAAAACACACAGGCTCATGCTTAATGTGTTAACAGAGGTACAATAGACTTATTATGTGTTTCCAGAGACTGGAACTGAGGGTGGTCTGAAAAATTAATGACTGTGGTGGTTGAAAATTAAGTGAACTCCCTAATATATACTGTTGTTGATCCACTGAGTTTGGTGTTTAGCATTCCTCAACAGGAGACTAAATCTTTGCAGCCATTTCACAAGAGATGCTGGCGCCCATAGCAGAAATATATTCAATAATCTTTTATAAGTCCATCACACTCCAGAGTTTTCCTATCCTGACTGGGAAGAAGTCCCAGAATAAATCACACATGCACATGTCAGGTGTGTGCTGAGAACTCTCTTTACCAGAAGGGGATGAATATCAGAGAATTGATACTGAGAGGACTTTTGATTAAAAGTGTAAGAGAAAGAGAGATCCAAACCCAAGGTTCATGGAATTGATTACATCCACACAACGTTTCTGATTGTTATTGATCTGTCAATTAGAAAAAGTACCACTCAGATCTCCTTGGTCACAGAACGTGTTGGAGCTCTGCTGTGCAGGAGGGCGCAGTTTGCTTCAGAAATTCACTCCTACATAAGCAGAGGCCAGTGAGGGACAGTAGCTGTCAGTGAGCTGTGCAGTTTGATTGCTTTTCACCCAAAATGTCTCATTTTGCAATAAAAAATGTGAAGCTTAAAACTCTCACGTGCCTTTATATCATGACTGTCTGCACCCAGGAACACTGTCCTGGGGATTAGTGCCAGGATGAAGAAGCTGTGTCCAAATTTCATGGAATCACAGAATGGTTTGGGGTGGAAGGGACCTTAAAGCTCATCCAGTTCCACGCCCTGCCATGGGCAGGGACACCTTCCACCAGCCCAGATTGCTCCAAGCCCTGTCCAGCCTGGCCTTGGACACTTCCAGGGATCCAGGGGCAGCTACAACCACGACAAGTTGTGCTGGGACCTCAGCACCCTCATAGCCAAGATTTTTTTTCCCAATATCTCATCTCTCCAGCTGTCTGGCAGCAGGAAGCCATTCCCCCTTGTCCTTTCACTCCAGGTCCTTGTCCCAAGTCCCTCTCCAGCTCTCTTGGAGCCCCTTTGAGGCACTGGAGGGGGCTTTAAGGTCTCCCCAGAGCTTTTTCTTCTCCTGGCTGAACACCCCCAGCCTCTCAGCCTGGCTCTGTATTTAAAGAGAACATAGATAGAATGAAATATTTCTAGTTTTTTTAAGTTTGCAGGATATACGATGTGAGGAATGTACAGGTCTAACAACTCAAAGAAGGGCCCTGCCCAAAGAAGGGCACCAAAATGCAGAAAAAAGGACACTTGCGCTCTGAACTGCTTGGGTCGCAGAAGTGTTCCTGTTACATTTTATTTGACTGTTTCTTTTTCAGATCCGGTTCCAGCCTTGGATTTAGGACAGCAGCTTCAGCTGAAGGTTCAACGCATGCACGATATTGAAACAGAAAACCAGAAGCTTAGGGAAACTCTGGAGGAATACAATAAAGAATTCGCCGAGGTGAAAAATCAGGGTAGGTTGCAACCGTATTATCAGCTCTTAATGCACACTGAAATTTGAAGACAGAAATTGTGTTCAGTTTTATTTCTTAAAGGTAGAGATGACAGTAGTATTGAAATTCAGTAGAGAAAGTGCAGTAGTCTATTAGGGCCACTTCTGTATTTATGTGTGATGGGCTTTGGGCAGACTCTGGATTTCTTGAAAGTTCCATTTACTGTAGCACCAAGTCAGAGGATGGAGTTGTTATTCTGCATATTTGGTTGTAGTCTTCAGCACTGAAAATTACACCTGACTGACGTTATTTGTGACATTTTATGGGAGGCAGTGCTGGTACTGACATCAGGCTGAACGTGGGTGTTGGTACTTGAAGGATGTGCAGACAAACACAAAAATTCAGTATTTTGTATCTACATATGAATCTGTACAAAATGGAACTTTTTCTGTACTGTTTTTACTTATCTAAATGTACTACTGGAATACATTCAGCATATGCACTTTATTTTTACTCTGGAGACCATCCATAGAGCAATGTAAATACAAGCTATTACTGTTAAATTATTTAAGTTTTAATGAGTCTAAAGTACATGAAAATACATGAAAATCTCAATGAGATTTAAAGCCTGTTGGCTTTAAGACTGCTTAAGTTTTCTTGTGATTCAGTTTCCTGCACCAGGAAAAAAAATTTCTCAGTCGTACACTTTGTTGCCCATCCATGGGACTTCTCATTTCCATCTTTAATGCCCAGTTCTGGATGGTGGAAAGGTAAATTGTCTTGCCATTTGGAAAAATGGAGATTTAAATTTATTTTTTATATTATGGGACTGTTGCACCCAAGTAACATTTGAAAGCTGTGTTAGCAGCTAAGTTGATTTTGTTAAATCTCATTTTTGGCCGAGGGAACATCTACGCAGTTATATCTTTTGAAAGATTTATTTTTTTAATGTAGAGGGTGTGACCCCTGGAGAGGACAGGTATCAGCATGCCAGGATTTGGGCTGGACTGCAGGAGATGTCATGTTGGAACTGTAATGCTCTAAGCAAAACTGTATTTTTTGCTGGAAATGTACAATCATTGCAGTTCACTGTGCAGAGTTTTCCTGCGGCTGTGCATCCACTACATCCAAGCATGACATAGGGGTTCATCCCACAAAGTGGAAAAGCACTTGACTTATAGAGTTTTTTGCTACAACCACTCATAACTGACATTTTTTATTTTCCCTGGTGTGCTGGAACTTCCTTTCCATTTCCCCACTGTAGCCTTTGTGTTGTTTTTCACTCCAGTGCAGTGGTTTTACTCTCAGTTTCAAGCAGGGATTAATAAGCTATCCAGGGAAAAGGCTGTTGTTAGCTGAGGGTGCTTTGATCAGTTAATCTCTTTGTTTGGAGGGTTGGTATGAGCTCTACGGTGCCTGTAAGAACTTCTTCCAAAACTGGTATAAATGGCAGTGCCTGACAAGCTGTAGCTGACCTGAGCACTGAAGAAGGCACTTAGTGCTTCAAGCAATGTAGAGGATTCAGCTGTACTTGTCCAGCATGTCTGTTGTTAGGTGCTTAAAGGTAAAATCAGATTTTATTACAAAAGTTATGTTTTCCCCCACATTTGTGCACTTCTTGTGTTCATTTTTGTGGGTTTGTTTTCTTATAAAATCAGACATTGAAACTTAGTCAAGGTGCATTTCTGTGAGATTATTTTGCTCTCTACTTCTCCATATACCAGAATATTTTTGCAGATTTGTATCTGAAAAATATAAAGGTGTTTATACAAAATATAAACACCTGGAGCAGAGGTGTTCCCAGGAGGGAGTGCAGCCCCCTTTGCCCACAGGAGCAGCATCCTACTGTCAGTGCAAAGGAGCATCCTTTGCTTATTCAGGAAGAGATCAGGATTTGTATGACTTCCCAGATCTCAGGGAAGAATTTCCCTTTGCTTAAGAAAAAAAAAAGGTGACGTGTCCTTTTCACGGCCTGTTACTCAGTAATGAGCCTCAGCTGATTTCTGCACAGCCAGCAAAATCCTGCTCCTTCAGGCAGAGGCAGCTGCTTTGCTGGCAAGCATTTTTACCACTCTTCCCCCCTTTCTTGTGGTCACAGTGGCTCAAGCTGCCTTTGGTAGTGCCCAGACAGCAGATCATGTCACCAGCTACCTCCTGTCTGCTTCACAGCTCCCTGCTCAGCTCTCTACAGCAGGATTTCGAAAAGATTACGTGTGGATTTGTGTGACATTATTGAGGTTTTTTTCCCCCAAGCCCATAGGGTTTATTTTTCATATAGGGTTTGTCTTCCTAAGATGTTTCTGCAAAATATGAAACTTTTCACATCCAAAAGTTTTTATTTTTTCCTCCAGCATTAGTAATGGTATCTGTTAATAAGCTGATGTCTTTAACCCCCGCCTGCATCCTGGTGTGAGTACTCTGAACTGTGCTGCTGCTGTGAGTCTTCTGGCAGTCCAAGGCTTTTTCCAAATTCCATTATTGTTACAAAGCATACTCTGGTGGATGTGCTGCTTTTCCTCTTCTGAGCCCTATAAGGATTCAGTCCTTCCCTGTGGGTGGGATCACAGGGCTTTCACACAGGAACACATCAGGGCACGTAAGGAGATGCTGAGCTGTAGCTCTGCAGGTTTCTGCATCTGCTCCCATCACTGCCGGGCATGGGGAAATGCAGGAGAGCTCCTTTATCCTAAAGAAGGGTTCTGCAAATTCCCTGGAAGGCTGCAAGTGCCTCAGAAAGTTAAAATAGTCAATATTTGTGTGTAAACCCAGGGGTGGAGGACGAGGCAGCGACAGCAACTGGGACATGCAGAGCTCCAGTGCCTGCTGTGAATGCAGCAGTTGGATCCCAGCTGCTGGGTTTCTCATCAGCTGGGAAGCAGAACAGAGCTGTATCCCAGATATGTGTTCAGTTAGTGTGAGATTGCATCTGTGCATGAACCATGGTGGAACTGCCTCTTAGTGCATGAGCACAGTCAGGTGAACGAAGTGTCCTGTGTGTAAATGCATACTTAAACCTGCACTGGGACTTTATTAATCTTCTCTCAGCACTCAGCTAATTTTAGGCTAGTCAATAAGGTGATATTATATTTTACAATTGATTTTTTTTTTCCTTCTTTTTTAAAAAAAATTCATGTTAGAGGAACCTTCTTCACTCTGCTTTCCAGCAAACTCCATTGATCCTTCTCAACCTAAACACTTAAAGTTCAATTTAACATTTAGGGAGTAAAAGGTCTCCAAAGGGACTCATATCCATTGATTTTGTGTCAGAGTTGAAGAGCTAAAGTTTAAAACACACTGAGCCTACAGGGTAAAGCAAGCCTTGTGTTGTGGAACCACGTGGAGCTGTGTAAACTCATTCTTCCCCTATTGTTTTCCTGCAGAGGTTACAATAAAAGCACTTAAGGAGAAAATCCGAGAATATGAACAGACCCTGAAGAACCAAGCAGAGAACATAGCCCTTGAAAAGGAACAAAAGTTACAAAATGATTTTGCAGAGAAGGAGAGGTGAGTGTGGGTGTGTGTGTCTGGGTGTTGGGGAGGAGCAGAGAGGTATTTTTCTGTTTAATCTTCCCAGCCAGGACTGGTGGCTGGAGCCAGCTGATCCATTGAGTGATTCTGGCGATTTATGCGTTTGACACGGGATCATTTGATACTCAGCTTTGCCCAGGAAAACAGTCAGGAGAGTGTGGAAGTGAAACAAGGACAGATTGTCTCTTCTCTGTGATGTGGTGGGGGGTGTCACATTCAGGGGCGTGCAAACCTGCTTTTATTCCTCCTGGCTCTGTGACACCGATCTGTCTCCATTAGCCAGGGCAGTTCCTGTGTGTCACAGGCTCTGCAGCCCTGGGCTGGGGCAGATGAGCCACTGCACCCACAGCCAGGGCCAGGGATGCACCCCCCCTGCTCCCCTGGGAATGCCTGAGACAGGGGATGTCTTCCTGAATTATCCTGGGAAGGTTTGCATCTTCCTACATGCCAAAATTAAGAAGGTTTTTCATTATTTACTGTCAATTTATAAAAAAAACCCAAACATTTTGGATGCATTTCTGATCTTTGCAAATGAGCAGAGAGCATTTGAATCTTTAGGTTGGTGAGCAAATAAATCAGGCAGGAGAAAACCAAGGGGCTAAAGAAGGAGTTCTTTCAGGCTGCATTCCCTGCCTTGAGAATTTATTTCTCCCATGGAGCAATAACACTGAAGCTATAATGTGTTCAACATAGCGTGGAAAACCTTCAGTTCACGTGAGCTTTTTTCTTGGAGGGTTGGTTGTTTAAATCCAGGGCTGAATGAGGAGAATCTACCAGTGAATGCAAAGTGTTTTTTTGATTCATCAATACCTGTGGCTGCTATTTGATAAGCAGCTTGTAAGCAGTGGTTTTAACAACTGCAGTTTCAATGTACTTAAAAATAAAACAAAATGGCAGGTCATGGAATGCAAATAAAAGTGTGTGTAAGAGAGGTTTTGAGGTCTCAAAGTATATGGTTCAGTATGAAGGGAACTGACACATGATTCTTGCTATAAATAGTTATTAACCTGGTCAGCAGTGTTGGAGGAGAAATTTGTGCACCCTATGGAGTGCAGGCAGGATGCTGGTAGTTTCATAAGCCATTTCACAATTCTGAGATCTGCAGAATATCCTAAAAGCAGTGTTGTGAAAAGCACGGCTCCTGGGAGATGTTGGAGCAGCTCCTTTCAAAGATGAGTTTTATAACTCCTGCAGCCTGGCCCTTAGCAAGGAGTACAGTGGCTGCCTGGTCAGATGATGTAAAAATGAGTTTAACTGACACAAACAAGAAAATGTTGCCTGTGGATGTAAGAAATGTGAGCATATTAAAGTTTTGCTCCTGTTCTATAGAAAATATCACTGTGAGATTTGTTTTGAAATATGTGTGTTTTCTTAAAGAGTAGCTAATAATATTGCTGCATTTGGCACCCATTACAGCTCTGATGAAACAGCTGCTGCATCTATTCACTCTATCAGTTATGGCAACAAATTCCTTCATTATGACACTAAAATGGAAATGTATCATTCTTCTTGTACTAACTTTGTACAACAGAGGGTGCTTGGTGACAATTTTCTCAATGTGTGTGACATTTCCAAAACAAATTATGCTCAAGAAAACCTTCCACTGAAGTTGTCATTTATATAGCAGTCAACTCTTTATAACGTTCACAGCTTATGTTATGAGGTGGCTACACTGTTAAAATTTTAATAAGTGGGACCAGAAAGTAGGAGCAGCATCTCACAACGTGACAGCATTTATGGGTCCCACGGAAGCACCTCGGAGCCTGTGTGGTGTTGGCAGTTGTCTCATTCCAGTTGAGACATTTAATGGCTCCATCCCCCAAATCTGCAAGGCACAGATGAGTTGTTTGCTCTGCTCTCACCTCTCCTCTCCCCTTCACAGAAAATTGCAGGAGACCCAGATGTCGACAGCCTCGAAGCTGGAGGAAGCTGAACACAAAGTTCAAGCTCTGCAAACAGGTTTGGCATGGCTTTAGTGACCTTTTCCAGGTGATCAGGTGGGAGGTGAGAGGACAGGGATCCTTGGGTGTGCCAGGACTGGGTGTGAAGCAGCTCTTGGCATGCAGGGAGGTCCAGCAGAGCTCAGATGTGCTTTGTGAATCAGAGCAAACACTCCTGTTGCAGCTGTCATTGGCAAATAACAGGGACAAGGCCATGGAGCACACACAGAGCATCCCTGGAATTACAACAGGCTATGGAACTCACCCTCCATGTGTGTTCTGCTTCCACACATTTCCAAACTGTGAGAAATATCTGTACTGAGCTGTGTGAGCCCTGTTTCTTGCCTGTTGCTATGACTTGCCATTAATTTTCATCTCTGCACACTTCGAAATTCCAGGTCTGGACACATTTGGCTTTGTTTGCTATGAGAACAGAAGGAATTTTATTCCTTGAACTACTGCAATAAGTATTTCAGAGGAATGAGCAGTTTAGCCAGCTTAATAAGAAACTAATAATGTCTAGCTTGGTTAAGCAGAAACTGGAAATTTTTGTAATGTATCAGAAATACTGTAAGAAATTGTGAAAAAAGTCAAAACCCTATGGTTTTTTCTAAGTCATAATGGTTTTCCTAGGTAGAAGGATAAAGCAATGGAGTTGTATAGCTTTATTTTTTTTTCATTAGGAGATGTACAGCCTTATTTATGACTGAATACTTCTATTTCAGTACTGTAATTCTTCATGTTTATGCCTTTTAGCCTTGGAAAAAACCAGGACAGAGCTATTTGATCTGAAAACAAAATACGATGAAGAAACTACTGCAAAGTAAGATTTCCCTGTTTTCTTTCTCTGTCTTCCTTCAGGGTATCACTGATTTTTTTGTTTTGCATCTGTCTGTTGGAGAGAGATGAGATGAGGGAGGCTCAGGCATCCAAGTTTTTGGAAAACATGGTCATAATTTGGCCTCCTATGGAGAGATTATTAGTTTTTATATTTTCTTCTCCCCAATAAGACACTTCTCCTGGCACACACGCTGCTGCATTCCTGGTTTCATTCTCAGGTGCTTCATCTTACCCTGTATGTCTCTTGTATTTTATTTAGAAATAGGGACAGTTTCAGAAATAAGGTATTCATTGTGATCTTCCCATCTTGGTGAAAACAAAGCTTCATTTAGTAAAGGATTGCTGTTTGATTCTTAGGCACCCTGGTTCTTTCTGCTTTTGGGGTAGTAGTCCTTGCTCTGCCAGGTTCACCTCTAATTACAGAGAGCAGCATTTTGGGCAGATTTTCCTTGTTTTCAAGTAGAACATGAAGGTAGTCTTAAAAATATATATTCTTGTCTTGTTAATAGCTACTGTTTCCAATTATCCTCTGGTTTTATTAACCATCAGGGCAGGGAACAACAAAAGAGACAGACTGCTGCTGGTTTCCTTTGAACCCTTCATATTTAAGGAAAGTTAATAATGAGAAGGAATTCTCATGATCAGTGGGATTAAGCACAGAGTCATTTCAGTGTCTGGAAATGGGATGGGAATGAAGCAGCCATTTCAGATGGCTGGGACACTCAAGGGAAGGGCTGGGACTCAATGTCACCTCCCTGTGCCACTGCCCAGGGTTAAAAACTGGCACCAATTTTAAATTTCTTACCCTGTGGTTCTGTGCCTGTTGAGGATCTGATTCCCCACTGAGGATGTGGGGAACCCAGCTGGAGCTCACAAAATTCAGCCCATGGAAGTTTTAACAATCAGCACTTGGAGTTTAAACACCTTTTATGTCCTTCAGGATAATCTTTCAGGTGAATTTTGGTCTGGCTCTGGAAGTCCAGTTTCCTTTGAGCTCCATGTAAGATGAGTTCCATGAAAAGGGATCAAAAGTATTTCTGTTCCCTCATTGATTCATCCCTCTCTGAGGGATGTAAACAGATGCTGGTTCAGATGGAGCCTTAAATTCCTGCAGACTGACTTTGTTTTTTCCTGCACATAACTGATATTGTTGCTGTTATTTCATGTTGCAGTCACTTCTGGGAGAACAGACAGAGATCAGTGGTTGCAGGCACTGAACCTAATAACCTCTCACCCTTTTTAATGTGTTTATTTGCAGAGTGCTTCATTTTTTAATAGTGTTTCCCTAAGTGCTGTAATTTATCTTACGCTGAGCAAAATCTGTTCTCTAAAATATTTGTTTGCATTTCTAATCTCACTCTTTCAGGGAGATTCACACAGAAATATTTGTTTTTTATATGAACTTGAGAATGACTCTTACCTAATTTATATAGAATTACATAAAATTAGTAGCATCTACAGTAACAAGATGTTTATTGTGTTCTGTAGCAGAATGATTATGGAGACTGGGTCTGGAATATGGTGTTCATGGAGCTGAATCCTGAAGCAGTCATTAAGCTTGTACTTTATCTCCCGGACTAATGTCCTGTGAAAACAAACTTGTAGGTCCTAATAACAGCAGAAATATTTTATCATTGTTTTGGATATTTATGGCAGGAACAGTTCTTGCATAACAACAGTCTGTAGTGTTTGTAGCCCAAATTTTGCAATATGGAAATCTAGAAGAACATGAAAAGGGAACTGAATGTAGACAGTGGAATTGAGTCATCTATTTTAATTGTAAAAACTGGGAGAAAGGCTGAAAAAACACCAATAAAAAGGGTGAAAGACAGTTTGATTCTTTTCTTAAAAGAAGCCCTCTTTTGATCTAAGTCTGAAAAGCTACTTGTATTGCCAATTTTAATTTTATGTTTTAAAAACATGTGATTTTTATCTTAGGCCAGAATTGTTAGTTTTACAGACGCTTATTTGATGCAGATGAATTGGAGTGCCTTCAGGAAAAAAACAGATAATTGTCAATATTTAAAAGCTAACAGTGCTTTTAAGATTTTCAGTCTCAGAATAAAGCTGTCTTTCAACTACTTGAAACTTTGAAAATCTTTCAAACGAGGCAAAAAAACCCCAAGAAGCAAAAGAAATATAGAGTGAGAAGTCTTCATTATCAGTATTAAGGAGTCTGGATTTTATCCTGGAGCCCAGTTGTGGTGATCTGAAAAGCTGGGAATCATTCTGTCAACTTGTTTGTTTTATCTTGTCACAACGTCCCATTCGAAGTACTCTACCTGCAAAGGGAGGGACAGAGGCACAGCCAGGCACCTTCAGATGAGATCAGTGGCTGGAGTTAAAATTTCCAGTGCAATTCTGTCGTCCCCAGGTACAGAATTCCCAGCAGGTGGGTGTGTGCTGCCCCTGCCCCTTCCCTGAGCCCCAGCACAGCCCCGGGCCGGGCACTGAAGGTGTTAATGACAAAAAGAAGTTTATTATGTGCAGTCATTGCAGTCTGTCAGCTGGAATATCAGAAGCTGCCTTTGACAAGATGGCAGGAGCAAAGTTTTCCATGTGTAGGCTTGAAGTAAAATGTAATTAGCCTTTATGTGCAGAACAAGGATCCATTGATGAATACAGCTGGTCTTTGTTTTCTTCTGTCATTGAGTGTGGGAGGTAAAAGTGTTCTTCTTCATGTTTATTAATACAAGATTCCTTAGACAAATGGCAAGCACAGTTTAATATTTGTTGGAACACAGAGGGGCTTGCCAAAACAGTTGTTGTGTAAGAGGATTTCAAGGTTTTCAGATTATAATCATCTCTGGGTTAAATAAATGAATGATTACTCTGCCTTTTTCAATTAAAGAGGCATATCCTCTCTTGAGGCCTGACACTGATTTTGTTTGCTGTCCCACACGTTCCTATCAGCAAAACTGGGTTTAACCAACACTAATGAGTTTGATCTGGAGATTCTGTCAGACCTGGAGCTGAAAAGCAAACTCTGACTTGAGTTTCAGCAAAATTAAAGAAAATTGGGATTGTTCGTTTTTTTTTTTCTACTGCAACAGACTTTTTCTTTCTTTCTTTGCAGAAAAAGAAACATTCTGTATACATTTCCTCAGTTTTCCAGGGACAAGCTGTTCTCTCTAACAGTGCTCTTTCACTTCTGGTTTGCTGCAGAATCCAAGCAAGTGCTTGGGATTCCCAGCTGAGTTCGCAGCCGGAATGGTTGGATTCCAGTTTTAGATCAATTCCAGAGCCACCTCTTTGCTCCTGCCCCTGCTCTCCCCCAACCTAAATGAATTCTAATTGGAAAAGGACCTTGGGTTGCAGCACATACAGTAGGCTTGTTACATTACTGTTAACATGTGGGTTGAGGCTCCCTGCCTTTGATGAAAGAAAATATCGAATTTCACTGAAATGCTCCATTTTCACCAGCCAGCTTTAAGTAGTCTTGTGAGGATTTTGGGTACTGCCCACTCCCCAATCCCCCCTCCCCCAGTTCTGCAATAAAAAGCCTTCATAAACAACACAAACCAGAAAATGTTTAGGTTGGGGTTGTCAGGCAGAGCAGCTCTGCCGTCACCAGTTCTATTACCAGTGGATTTTCTGTAAGATTCAGACTTTTTGTCCTTCTAAAAGTAGCACAGCGATGTAACAGAGAAGGAGCTTTTCATATTTACTGAAGCAGTCATCCAAACACAGCTACTTTCAATAACTTGTAGAAAAACATTTTGCCTGCAGTACATGGGCAGAGAATTGTTGTCCTTCCATAGATCAGACTGATTATTGTTTATTTTGGCAGCACAGCTAAGGAGGACAATGGGAATAGGAGGAGATGCCTGTGTTTTTTGGCTCTTTGGGGTAAACTATGCTTTTCTTCCACATTATCAAACAGACCTGTACTTCAGGCATCACTGTAGAATAAAGTTCTGTGGATGTGCTGTTCACCATGGAAGGAGTCTAGGATTAGGCTTGGAGACAGGGGACCAGAAGTTTTAGAGAATTCCTGAAGAGTTATTTCTGCCTGGAGTTATGTGGTGGAATTGAAGGATTCATGTGAAATCTTCTATTATATTGGGGCAAATCTCAGTTAACTTGGACTTCAGGGGATTAATTCCCAATATATAGTGAGAATTGAATTATTTACTTTAATTTTTATTAACAAATCTTTCTTGTTTAAGTGCTGGCTGGTGCCACTATATCACTTCTCAGATGTTTGTAGTCTTCCATTTTGATGGTGCTCAGGGTCAAACTGAATAAAAAATAAAGTTGTGCTCCCTCCAGCATCACATAATTACTGTGATAAATGATCTCAATGCTGCTTCCCCCCATTGAGCCTGAAGTACTGCAGTTAGGGTGGTAGTGTTGGACATGACATGAAATAGCTTCTATTTACTGTGCCTTTAAGGTCTTAAAGTTCCCTATTTCCTGTTCCTTTGATGAGTCATTAACTTCTAATGCTCAGCTTTGGAATTATTGCTGTATTTAAAGTGATTTCCCTAAAAACAGGAGATGGAGAACTTCATAGGCCATGTCTCTTTTCAGAGTTTTTCCCTCACTTTCCTAGTCCTACTGCCACCACTGAAATCCCAGGATTGGTGACAATGAGAGGATGAAAAACCAGGGAAGATGTTACAGAAAACTATTTTCTTTAAAGAAGAAAAAAAAAAGTGAAGAAAAATGGAATGTTTTGAATCTTACAGAAAGCTCTGTCTGCATTTAACATTTAAGCCTTATGTAAAACTCACCAGGCTGAAAGTCACTTTTATAACATTAATATTTTGCTTAAAAACATAGAAGCGAAGATTAATGGAAATACTTTGGAGATCTGCTTCTTATTTTGAGCAAAAGCTTTGGTGTGAAAGAGGGCTTGGGAGCCCATGTGAAACCAGCCCTTTTTGTCACATTTTTGGTTCAGCCTACGGTCACACCAGAAAAGCTGCATAGTTGTATGGGAAGAGAATTCAATGTTCCTGTAAAACACTTGGCATTAAC